ATATATATCCATACATATGTATACATATAAATATATTAGACATATGTATAACCGATTGGCTGGTCACGGTACAATCAGCCTTCAGTGTACGCCCTGCTGGAAACTGTCGCGACCATGAGGCACCTGGTCGGTCGAAACGGAGCGGTTGATGAACGACAGTATAATTCGATTTGACATTGCTTGGCTACCCATTGGAGGTACTTAGCTCACCGGTCACCGGCTTGATATTATTCCGTGCCAGCCTGAGTGACAGTGGGTCATGCATTTTCAGTGCTGACGTCCGGTCTGCGAAATACAATACCCATCCTGAATGAACATATTCTCACAACTAGTACGGAAAGTATGTGCACGAAGCAAGGGTTTCAATTAGTTTTTGGACAGTCAGTCTGAAATACGGTTTTTCCAGTTATCAATCAAGTATAGAGATTTCGTATATCTAAAAGATCGCTTGGTGATGGAAGTTTTTCGCTTGAATAGGATGGTCAAACAGATGCCACTGCAGTCTAATTCGACTAAACTAGCGATAGCATTGGAATAACCCCTAGTAAGTGCCACGTGTCAGTTCCGTTTTGTTATTTTCAAGAAAATGAAGCAGTACGAAATCAGGTGTGGCCAGTCACAGCAGCTCTGTGTTGGCAATTGTTGTTGTTGTAGTCTACCCAGTGAATAACTCAAGGCTACGGAATACCACGCCAGCTAGGAAAAGAAAGAGCTGGTCACGTGGTGTCTCACCTTCATGTATAAGTGTGTGAGCAAATCAGTTACGACACGGCTCCTTAAAAAGTTCCGTAACAGCTAACCTAGTAGGCGCACAAAAATGTGGTTTAGCTGTTCAGATCGTCTAACAAAATTCAGTAAGCAGGACGAAAATAGGGACAGTACGGTCAGGAAGCAAGGTCAAGTGTTGGTGATCAACAAACTGCTAATTGCGGGGGCGGGAGCGAATACGCTATTGAAAATACCGTAATGAAATTAGTGGACAATGGACCAATAAGAAAAAACGTAGTATTCATGATGAAATGACAGCTCAGAACTGGGCGTGGTTACAGTTTCTGGCACCATACAACCAGAGACAAATAGGAGGATTAGAGAGTAACGAAGACTGACAATTGCATCTGGAGTGGGATTACAGAAACTGCGTACTGGTACCCAGATTGAATGCATCTTAATAGACGGGGGTGTGATGACTACCTGGTAACGAGCGCTTATCACTAGAGACCACTTGGGTTGTGAGTGACTCAATCCGAGATGAGTTGTGCAGGTAGTTAATGGCAAGCAGCGTTCGAAGGATGTTCGAATGGAGCCACAAAGAATGTTTTTGAATGGAAGCGATCACGTACTGCTGAGGACCGTTAAAGTGGCATACTCCCATGTATCAATGGATGAGTTCCTCTTACAATGTCGGATAGGCGAGGGTCACCCAAGCAACCTCAATTTCCCACTCAAAATTTCACTGTTCAACACCATACTATTCGCTGAAAAACGTACATAGGACGTTCACCGTCGGGACGAGCATGAAAGCGGGTCGCACGTACCTACAAGGGAGGGGGGTGAACCGGTAGTTTACTTAATTTGGCCGCTCCGCCAAGGGCCTTCTGTGATCTGGTCTTCATAGACAGTTTGTACTTTTAAGGAACGACCCCGAACCATGTCACGGCAAGATCAGCACATGTTTCGATCGATCGTTCCGACCCAGGTCACTGAGCGGTTTGTCGTAGTGCCACCTAACTGCACTTCACCGTTTGAGTTCATATCTCAGTTACACGCCAAGGCCTTTGGTAAGATAGAAAGTCGAACTAAGCGACTAAATGAATCTTCATACCCTCTTGTGAACGTGCAAGCCCGTTTCACATGCATACAAATGACACGCCAGAGGCGACTGAGAAGCAGTGTACCACTGTTTCTGTCCTTCCTAAGAGCTAATAAAATGAGTGGCTCCCGAACTCTGAAGGAGATTTAAACCAGAAATTTTCGACAGTTGAGCAGCGTAGCCATGAGAAATTTATGACCAGTGTGTTCTGACTGCACGACGTTTACACGAAACTGCACCAACTAACCTCGGCTACATAGAGGCGAGTTCTAGATGTGCTACCATCTACCGACTCTTTCAGTGAAATGTGTCCCTGAAATGTTGTTCGTACTCCATTAGGGCTGAGGTGAAACAGCTTCCGGACGCCTCAGCACAGGTTCTAGGTATCTAGCAGCCAAGGAGACAGATAAGCGAGTGATTGGGTAGTCAGATACTAAGTGAGCAGTTGAGAGTAAACTGGGTCAGTCAGAGGAAGATTACCCGCTGAGATGTGCCGCTTGGCTACGTGAGATCACGAAGGGCGATCAATCTCAACGGAAGTGTCCAGGTTTTGTTCAGAAAATCAACGGAGCCGGTGGATAACGGTATAATAGTAAGAGCATATATAACACATTTGCAGAGGACTGGATATGAGCGTGAGCGAAGTTAATCTCCCATAGTAAGAGTGCGGACTGCAGCAAGAGCGCATGGGAGGACACAGTTTACTCATAGGCGGTAAAAAGTTGCCACATATGTTAGCGGAAACCAGTAACCTCAGTTTACGAATTTCCGACCATACACGTAATGCAGTTTTGACAGATCTACGCGGACCAACGACGCATGCACATCAGCGCGCTAAACATCGATTCCAAAAAATGTTCACACACCGGTTAGCACATAAAACACCCAAAGTGGTGAGTAAACTACTGAAAAACCCTTCCCATGGTTTATGGTGAGAGAAAGCTAGGACAGCTCCATTCAGAAATCTGTCTCGAGAATTGGTTTATGATGGTTAATGTAGATATGCGATTGGAAATTATCTCTTCCGGAGGAAACAAAAGCATTCAGGGGTGAACGTCAAGCGTTTTCTTTTCAGTGGGCGGGGTTTATACGCGTAGCGCGAGGAAACTATACGACCGAGGCAACTAGTGGTGACGTACTTGTCACTAAAACTGGTTAAAAGTTACATTCCATTGAAATGTGTCGCTTTAGAAAAACAACCTCGGAAAGAGGGTGGTTGTAAGTCGACAGCAAAACAACGGCGCCTCTCCGGAATCGAGGACAGCGTTTGCTGTCTACTTAAACCCATACTTGTAGCAATGTGGACTCTCGGTTAGTGGGAATACAACGCCGGAGAAAAAAGAATGTCATGTGTTCACGAAACTGGTACGATCACCTACTGCATGATCTATTGGATGACGAAGTGAACGTAGTTGGAAAGGGTGTATGTTGGCGAACAAAAAAAAAAACAGAAAAAGCTAATGGGCGCAAAAATCCCATAACGGATGAAGTGGTAGTGTAACGTACTAAGGAGAGAGGATAGATGTTTGATTTACCAGGCAGCAAACGGATGCAGGCAGACTGTCAGGCGAAGAGAATCCTAGGAAGAGTAAGCATGGGGATAGGAACTGCCCAGATACCTGTAGGTTTTCAATCGTCACATCACCCTCTCGCTCCCTCCAGAGATAACTAACTAGAACGGTCGGAGACAATCGTTCCAGAGTGATGGAATTGGTGGAAGGAGTTGTATCCCGAGGTATACCAGCGAATAAAGATGTATTCAAAAACAAAGTACATATTCATCCTTTAATTTTGGATGATGATCAATGAATTACTGAGGAGGGTATGCGAGCAACCGACGAAATTTTATCAAAAATTGTCCAGTGTGGAGAAATGATCACTTTACAGAAGTCTTGTGTGATCAAGTTTCCATAATATCTAGAATACGTGGTCTGAGAAGTACTTGGTTTATGAATGCGGTCAACATTGTCGACATGTGCTCACCCCAAACGTCTCTACAAAGCTGATATCCGTACTGGGGGCGTCCTAATGGTGAGAGAACCTTTACAACGAATGTTAATGTGTGGTTGCTAGCTGGGTCGCATACATCTTGGCTCATGTTTGGATGCCCTGGGTGCTCCCAAGGTACCGCGGGGATGAAAGGAACGGGCGCTTTGGGGGAATTCGGGCTCAGGAATTGCACGGGTTTGTTGAAAGTGCACTGTGACACATGAGCAAGAATCATTGACTAAGACGGATTCAGGGGATGCAAATTGGTCTTCAACAAAGAACAATGATGTGGCTACCCTTCTGAGACGGAGCATGAGTAATGCGTGCTCACCAATGTGTGCAGACGATGGGCGCCATGCACACCTTAGACAAATGATCTTATATCAAAATTGAATCAAAACGGCTGCTTTCCATCACGGCCCCATTTTTCGTCGGGCAGTGTTGTGAGCCAGAATTGTCCCACAGATTTTTTTAGTTTGGATCTCTAAGGTTAACATCTCACTATATACCCGTTCAACAGAGAACTACTTCCTCCATCTAGTAACTTATATTTCGAAGGTTGAAAGAATGGAGAGCAATTCGTGTTTCATCCGTATTGTGGTGAACCAAATTAAAAAATCCTGGAGATCAAAAATAATAACTTGTTAAAAAAATACCTACCCTTCACAGGTGCACGCACAGATGACTTTTGTGACACTGCTGGCGCCCCCACCGATGCTGATGTCGTCGCGATACCACGTCTAGTTGTTTGTGGAATGCTGACAAGAGGCGCCGACTGTAGGGACGGTCTACTCTGACTAGGAGGGACATTGCGCCGGAAGTTTCCAGGGTTGGTCGCTGGTCCGGGACCCCGCCTACTCAGTGTTCGAGCGGATGAGATGCTGGGAGGTTCTGTAGCAGACTCGGAGGGTTTTCGAGGACCACGGCTAGTCACGCTTGATCTCGGGGTTTCGGCCGTGTTCGAGCGCCATTTGGTGACGGGAGTGCTGGTAACACTTGGAGTAACACTCATAGAAACTGAAATGTGAATGTCCACGTAGTGAGTTTGGATGCTAGTCGTTAGAATATTATGCAACTGGGAGGAAAAGGTATTTACCTACGGACCACTCAAGTAAAGACCGATAGAGCACCTCTTTCTATCGACTTCCACCACTTTTGCTTCATTTTAAACAATCTGATCTTCAAAACATTATTCAAAGCAACGAAAAATTATCACTAATCTTGATTAAGCATGCATAATACACGTAAGCCATCGCCTGGCATGCTAAACTGGTCAGAGTAAATCACGGTGGACGACGCCAACATATCAACCACTCTATTCATGAAACTAGCCAGAGGCTTCCAACCAAACCTCAGTACACATCTATGCGCCCATCTTCAATTCACCCGACTCGAGATAGCTGAGTGATTAAGGCGCCAACTTACTGACCAGAAGGTCCGCGGTTCAAGTGTAATCCTAGCATATCGATTGATCCTGTTTGGATGCGGGCAACCTGGCAGCAGCTAAGTCCTCGTGTCCCCGTCGAATAGTATAAGAGCTAGGCATCGGAAACGACTACTCATTTTATTTTATCTTCAGTCCATTCATCGTATCGATAAACCTGTTTCAGCTATACACACATCCCGACAACAAAGAATGGACTGATGTCCGCGCGTATGCACGGTGCCCATTAGTCGTACAATGCTTTTAGCTGCAAAACCTTTAAGAGTGGAGTAAAACTTTTCGCGCCAAAATGTTGCACTTTGTTGTGTATGTGCTCAAACCTAAAACAATTCTAATCTACCTTCACATTTTTGCAGCCCACCAAATTTCACTGTCCACTAAAGCAATCATACCTCTGGCGAAAATGTCTGGTGAAATAATTTCCCAGCATCGCTGAGACCTCGAGATGCCTAAATGGGGCTCAAAAGTTTGGACTGGTAATCTGGACTCAATTGCCCGATTGCTTTAGTCCATCAGGGACACGTCATAGCTCTCAAAGATTCTATTCTATTGTGCGAATACTGAGCACCCTCGGTGCACAGGATAGTTTAAAATCAAAGATCCGGGACAGTAAAAACGAGTTTGTTAACCAAGCCCCAGGAATCGAGCCGCTGTGGTGTCGAACTCTCATTTTTTGTAGTCGCTCTCCAGAGAACCGGTAATGGGTAATCAAAAGGTGTATGGAAGTAAAAATCTATTTTGAATTTTTGTCTGCTTCAGTTACCAGAGAGAAATTGGATTTCAGGCAATAAAAGATCCTCTGTCGTGAATTCGGTTACTTGTTTTGCTAGCGAACCCGGCCATTTAGCCATTCAGACTCCAACCTGTAACACCAAATCAACACGAATTTCTTTCGTTTGTGATTCTATGGGACGTGATCTGCTGGCAAAACTCTGTGGTTCTTTCTCGTGTTTACGCATCTCAAAAAAGATGCACTAATTGGACAGGCCCGAGCCTCCACTGTGAATGAAAACGTCGATTTCATAGAAGGCTCTTGGTCCTCAAAAACTTCAACTTAGCGTTGACAAGCAGATCGTGGCAAAATTATGATTTTATTCTTGCCGAGGAGATATTCACCAAAGTAGTCGAAAAGGCCCTTGGTCCTCAAAAACTTCAACTTTGCGGTGAGAAGCAGAATGTGGCAAAATTATGGTTTTATTCGTGCCGAGGAGATATTCACCAAAGTAGTCGATCGGGTAAATTTCACTGCAATACATTCGGTACCTACAGGAGCACGTACAGCCTTTCTGGTGATTCAGATAAATGAGTGGAACGCTAATCTTGAGAGCATAAATCACCGAAGATATCTAATTAGAATTGAAAACACTTTAGTATTGATCCTGAGGCATCATCACTGATTGAAATCGTGAGCTTCGCACCTGTTGTGTGCAGGTCGGAGACCTTTGCCGATTAGATTGACGAAGTAATCTTGCTAGAGTTCCACATACTCTTGATATGATCCTTTAGGATTTCCGTGCGTGTCCGATCAACACTGCCAAAAACTCAGCCAAAAGTGCTTCGTGAAATACGTTAAAAATTCGCATGTTCTAAACTGACTAGGACGGAGAAAACGGAGCGGGGAAGTGATCTTTATAGCATTCCATACACTATACTATGACAGCCATACGGACCTTAAGTTGAGCTACAGCTGATCAGCGCACTGCCGTCAAAAACAGCAAACAAAGAAATCGGCTTCGGTGAAGACGACTGCCGCAAAAGTGAACAGCTGTCGGATAACTGGGCTCACTTTAAAACCATTCCACCAATTCAATGAAACCTCTCGGTGCGTGCCCACAGAAAGTAGCCCGAATTGTGCAGATTCCCTGTCACAGTCTGCAGATCCATACAGCAAGCAACATTCGTGAGACATGCAATGATGGCAGTGTCCTTTTTAGGATAAGCCGACGTTTTATCAGAGTTTGACCTGGCCTTGTGTGACAAAATCTCTACTAGGAGCTCAAGTAAACCTTTTCTACTCTCAAAAGACGACCAAAATTGCACGAAATTAGCGAAATACACTCGTTCGCATACCAACTTGGTTTTGACGGGAAACTCACCTTAAACCCAGCGAAATCTCTCGTTTATGATGTTCTTAAGCAACTGAATGTGCTGCGTCAGGTCGCCTTATGTTCCAGTTGGTACTATATTCGAGATACCGCAATATATCGCACAAACGTTACACGCTACTCATAAAATTGCTGAAAACTCTTCGACAGCTCACAATAGGTTTCACCCTTCTTGGAGCACATCAGTTAGGCGCAGTCCCCGATTTCTCATCGACCTTATGTTCACACCAACTGATATATGAGGCGGCCGGGTGAAACACGTTTCGTTGAGAAGAACTTCATGGACGAGAGATTCAGCTGGGTTCCGAGAGAGTCTCCTGTCAAAATCAAATCGGTCTGCAAATGAGTGTAATTCGCTAGTATTATACCATCTTTTACGATAAAATGCTCCCGAAGGTGTTTTCTCGAGGACAGAGAACCGTATTTCAAAATGCGAATATTATAACAATAGAAAACCAGAGGGAACTTTGATTTCGTCCCTTTTTGAAAACCGACTCATGCATAGCCAGCAGTGACACTGCATAGCTGTAAAATGTACCGTGCTCAAGCAGGACAGAGGAGAGGTGCAATAAGTTTCGACGGATAACAGATTTTGGAGTGGAGATAATCATTTTCCAGCGAGTGTAAATGAAAATATTATACCGAGTTACCGCTGTCCTGTCATGTATCGGAATTCGGAAAGATGGTTAGCGTATATTCGCTAATTTCGTGCAAGTTGGTTTCAATCAAGCAGCGAGGGTAAATGAAAATATTATACCGAGTTACCGCTGTCCTGTCCTGTATGGGAAATTCGGAAAGTGGTTGGGGTGTATACGAGTAAACACAGGTCTCGTGAACCTTGAGTCAGTATTGACAACATTCATCAAAAATTTGCGCAGGTCTCATATTGTACGTAGTGACTAACAGAAGTCCTTCAACACGTGATGTAACGTCAGGAACGGGAAAACGCGTCATATTCTGCTCTAGCTTTCGACGCTGTCTTACTAAACACAACCTTCTTTCTCTATACAATGAGAAAGTATATCAGACGTTTCTTCATCCCCGTCCACAGAATGGACTGACACCATTTAACTCAGGAGAAACACAACGGCGTAAATGATGCCGGGTTTCCCAGGCCCAAATAAAATGCGAAGGGCCGATGAGAACCGCGGACCCCCAGTGAAGAGTTAAGGTCTTACGTCGGAAATATTTGGAACCATTTACAAAATCTTTCCGCTGAATGTGAACTTGGATGGCGGTGATCGACCGGATGGGAGAAGGACAATACGAATGCAAATCGATGAGGTTTCACCTCTTTAAAAGGGAGCTACATGTTGGTAATTCACCAGGTGGCTGTTGATCTGTTCGCCGAGCTTGCCAATTGATTTGCAAACGTTTCGTCGAGGAGACATCTTCAGTGCGCTGTTGGTTGGGTAGCTACACGAGCTACATGAAATGCAAACTAGCGCCCGAAAAGTCCGCGGTTCGAATCCCACCTAGGCATCTCGACTGCTCCTATTTAGGCTTTGGCAACCTGACAGTATCTCAACTCTCGTGCTTCCTTCGGGTGGCATGACAGCCAGACACTGAAAGGGTATTACAGCTGAATGACTATTATTATTACTAATGAAGGCGCGGAGGAAACTGTTGCTGTCACCTAAGAAATTATAGAACGCGAAACAAAGACGTCTATGCATCTATTTAGATCCTATTTAGATCCACTACAACAATAAGGCGAATCTTTCAGAAAGTGCTTCCGAAAGTTACTTACACCATGGCTTTTGAGTAAACAAGCTAAAATGGATGTGCTTACTGTATGAAATAGGTTTTTTTGATACAGGAGAGGCCGGACTGGATGATGCGGTCATCGTGCGCCGTGCAGTAGCGGTGCGTTCGGTCACAGTCTGAGCACAGCGTGGAACGTAGTTCCCAGTTGTGGGACGCGATGCCGGTATTTTTGAGGTCGCCGCCGTCGTCAACGCACTCCGTGTAGGCCCGGCTGACTTGACTATTCGCGAGTCATTTCTAAGAGTACCGGATACTGGACGACTAGCTCGAGCACTGGTGATAGCACGAGTGGCAGCCCCGTTGCTCGTAGTACCATTTGAAGCTCTCGTAGTTTTCAGGGACTGGCCACGCGTCAGTTTGGTTGTAACGGGCTGTGAATGGGGCGATGAAAGCGAAAGAAAATGAATAGCAATATTTGATCAACTGACTGCACCAACAGATTCAGTGCAAAAACCTTATTTCATCGATATCTCCAAATCGTCTGGTTATTCTTTGTTTAACCTCTTGGAAGGGATTCAAAAATGCTTCGAAAAACAACAGTCTTATCGAATTCCTTTATAAACGCAGTATAGACAGCTCCTGACGCTTCTGACATGTACGACAGACAGACATGTGACGGCTTCATATACGGAAAGCACGATTAGGAAAGACAACTGGACACGTTGTGATTGTGTCATTTTGTGATTGCTGTACGTACCTGGTTTACTGGTACCGATAAAAAGGTGCGACAAATAAATGGAGGTGATATGGTGACACGTAAAACAGTTCTTCGACACTAGCAACGTCCAAAAGAGATCAGCATCATGTGAATTGACAGAGACACCGAAAAGAACTTCGATGTTTCACTGTCGTACAGCACGGCTCTACTATGGAGAGAAGAAAAGATGACACAGAAAGAGAGATTTAGAGCTAGCCTACCACAAACATCCGAAGTGTCTACGCCTTCAGCACTTAGTCAGAAAAGCTGAATAAAAACAGTGGTTAGCAGCCACATCGTGTTACCGGGCAAGCTCAAGCGGACCGCATTCTGAAAGTTGAAAACACCATCACTACCAATTAGGCACAAAAAAACAACTCGCGATGAGAAGGACATAACGTGACCATATTAACTTGCAGTGAAGGACACATTCTTTGTAGGAAGTATCCTGTCTCACCAAAACTCGTCTCCTGATAAACTCATTGTGAACTCGCCGGGTCCAACCTATTACAGCCGTACTGCTGGCACATAGGTGGTCAAAGACCTGAACACGTCTCAGATCATCCGCCCGAAGTGGCCAAGTCTCGCAGCCGCATAACAATACAGCCCGAACTGTAGTCTGATACACAAGTCCATAGAGACACACTGAGATGCCTCCTTAGGATATGTTCGAGGACTATACGCATCTCGCGGCTGAGAAACACGTGCCCACCTTTTTCTCAAAAAGGCATCATTATTGACTCACTGCACTTGTCTGGAATAGCCTCCTAATCCCGGAGAGAAGTAAATTATTTAGACAAACTGGAGATTCCACCTCTATCCTTTGAAAGAATCGATGGGAGTTTGTTAGGACAGAGAAAGGCGTCAGCAACAACCAGTTTTTGCTAACGCGCCTTGGTGTACGCAGCAAGTAGAACGACCCAGCCGATGGCGACAAGTCATGACCAATGTGCCATGGTTGTACTTGGGCTGAGATATTGCCAGAGCACCCAGACCTAGATGGGAGGACGAACAGGGTCCTCAGCCAAACCCTTCGTCTCAAAAACCTAACCGCAAAGCAGCGGTGGTTGGTGTAAAACTGTCAGGGCAGCCTACATTTTTTAGGGAGCGAGTCACTACACACATTCGAACCCCAACCCGAAGCACCAGGAAACTGTGTTAGCCATAACTCTACCCATTGTTTACCTGGGCAGCTGTATCAGTCCCAGTGCTCTAGCGAAAGATGAACCCTTCGTAAAACCTAACCGCAAAGCAGCGGTGGTTGGTGTAAAACTGTCAGGGCAGCCTACATTTTTTAGGGAGCGAGTCACTACACACATTCGAACCCCAACCCGAAGCACCAGGAAACTGTGTTAGCCATAACTCTACCCATTGTTTACCTGGGCAGCTGTATCAGTCCCAGTGCTCTAGCGAAAGATGATATTTCCATCCGGATTGGGAAGGCCAGAACGGCTTTTGCAAACCTACGTCACCTGTAGCGTAGGCGTGACATCAGCTTCTCTGTCAAGGGTCGAGTTTATAATGCTGCGGTGCGCTCCATAATACTATATGGATCAGAAACCTGGCCGCTGCGCGCCAAGGACGTCAAAAGACTTTCAGTGTTTGACCATCGATGTCTTCGGAGCATTGCCCGAATCTGGTGGGAACACCGGATCAGCAATTCTGAAGTACGTCGAATGGCATTCGGGAGAAATAACTCACCCTCGACAGATGAACTGATCACACTGCACAGGTTGCGCTGGCTTGGCCACGTGCTGCGTATGCCAGTCGACCGACTTCCTTGAAGGGCTCTTCTCGCCCAACCATGTGAAAGGTGGAAGAGAGCCAGAGGCGGCCAAACAATGACTTCGCAGCGAAGTGTGAAAGCCATTACCAGCAAAATCAGCTGCGCTGGTCACTGCCGTCTTCCTGGATGGGGACCCCGAGACGGGCCACATCAATGGCTAGAGACATTATCAGACATGGCCCAGTCGCGCATCCAAGCTATTGCCTTCAATGCATAGCTCCTTTTCCAACCATCCTACTTGACAACCCACTGACAGTGCTGGATTTATGCACCAATTTACCAGCTCGCGCGTGAAATGCGCAGCTACCTGCCCCCCCTCCTAAATCATCAGTGAACGAAACTGCGGCAGCTACACAAACTCTACCCATTGACCAACCGGGCATAAAAGGTTTTGTAAGTGTTACACGTACACTCCTCAGTACAACTCAGTGGACTACCGCGGTGTACAAACCATCACAGCGCGGTGAGGTTCAGTGTTCATCACCGCAATAGATAAGCGCGGGAGAGGCAATCTCTGTTCAGGGATCGCACATTCCATGATGGATGACTGAAAACCTTACTGTGTATTCCATGGAAGAGTGATTTCTCCTAGCAAGGCGAACGTCTTCAAGAGAACTCAAGAAACTTAGTGAACCATCGTTAAAATGACAAAGTACGATGCGCAGCAGGGGGCGTAAGTACCGAAATTCAGTAGCTCCTCCTCGTACATGGAAAGGTGAAATCAAGCACTACAGCCACTCGTCATAACCTCACCTCTGCTTTCCGTCAATTCCGGACTTTGGCGAAGCATGAATACAATGCTCTACTCACTACACCATCACCTCCTACATATCTGCCATTTGGTGATCGAAACAGTCTCGCTCCATCATATTCACATCACATACGTCAGGGAGTATAATGATCATCGACAACTTCTTGAATGATTTGCACTTCAACGGTTCAGAGCAGTAGTACGGTTAGTCCCCGTTGTGGCGTCAACGTCCGAAAATCGAGACTACAGGCATAACGGATTTGACCTGCTTACAAACCCATCCTCCAATCCCCAGCTCAAATGCAGAAATTGGGCACATTTTCCTACAACCTGGTAACGAGATTTATGTCCTTCAACGTGCTAGCGTCATTCCCCTCAAAAAACCGTATTGCTCGTCCATGCTCAGACTGGACGACGATGCATTCAGCGCTTTCTTGTCCTCGTGATGATCTGTGTTGATCAGGCTTTCCTTAAACGCCACATCACCACATGGTCGGAACCTTCGAATTTCGTAAACAGTCTGTCGGAGTTAGTTAGGTGTCCAACCAAACACCAAAGCAGTCCGAGTAGCTTAAGCACGTGTGATGGTCATTAGGTGTTTACACAATCCCAAGCAGTCTCACGAGATCTCACAGGTTCATTATCGTTGGTAAAACTAATGAAGTGAAACTTATTTGACACAATTAGAGTGAATCACACCGTGTTGCATTTGAAATGGATTGCCGTGTTTCGTTAACCCGCCGCAATGGTCATGTGGGCTGGGACCCATCTCTGGGTGCATTAAGCTCCCATTTATTTGACTTGACGCTAAACAGCGAAGGCGATAGTTATCTAGCCACAAAATCACGTCTACTCGAACCTCTCATGCCGATGCCAAAGTTAACTAACCGCAACTGGAGCATGCTACTTATCATCCAGGCTCTTTTGTTCACCTTACGTATCTTGGAAATTGTATCAGTTCCGACTGTAGTGTGACAGATGAGGTCGATGCACGAATCCTCAAGGGTAATGTCTGCTAATTTGGTGTATCTTTGAATCTCAAGGGACGCGTGTATCAGGCTACAGTGCGGGCTGTTTTTTTGTACGGCTATGAGACTTGGCCTGTTCGAGCAACGGAACTGAGACATCTTCAGGTGTTTGACAATCGTTGTCTCAGGACCATATCTCGCGTGGGTTGGTGTCCGTAATGAGGCAATAAAAAAAGCGAGTCCCTGGTTGTGCAACGGGTACTTCCATTGAAGAATGTATCCAGCACTAGAAGCCGCGTTGGTTAAGTCGTGTATTGCGTATGCCGAACCATCGTTTGCCGAAGAGAGTGCTGTTTTCCATGTCCAATTCAGAGTGGCGTAAACAGAGAGGTGGCCTACCCTTGACTTGGTACAGAAGTATGAAGGAGATTACGAAACGCTTGGGTGCTGTCGGTGCTACTCGACTTCCAGGATGGGCATCGCGTGACACTACAAGATATGGCTACTAATCGATAACAATCGAGTTCTTGGTGTCAGTTTCTATTCGGATTGCCTGAATGAGTATTTGAAGGAGTAGGCACCTTGGGATGATTGTATTAGGCTAGCACTAAGTCCCTTCCCCGTCCACCTTTGCTCTTTTCTTTACAGTAAGGCTTTCGAATAAGTCATGGTTGTACGGTAGCGAAGTATCAGAGTTGAACACTGATGTCATGCTGTCGATGACGATTATGTTCGCCTCGCAAAAAAATAGCACGCCCACGGTTATTAAAACCAAGAAGCATGAACAACAGTCTAACGAGATCTAATGAGTATTGATTCACGCAACCGACCAACTCATTACACATCAACAGACCAAAAAATGTCAGTTCGCCAGTATGGTAAATGTATGGGATTCTGAAGACCCTAACTGTGGCACTGTGCTTGGTTTCTGCATCCATCACAACACTCTTCTCCATTTAAATTTCTGGGCATATACACCCGGGTTTGAAAGTGCAACCACCAACTATTAATATTGTGGGGCTGGGATCAGTCCATAACATACGCAAAGGATACAATATAGTACCTATTATGGTTTTGCACATTTTTCAAAAGACAGTTTACTGTGGCCGGATGCCTTTCAAAAAGTCTTTCAGCTGAAGAATTTCAATGTCTCGTTTTTTCACACGGCCTTAAAAGAAGAGAGCGAGCAAGAAATCCATGTTCTCAAGACACTTCAAATTCTCCATTGTGCTGCTGTAAGGGCTCCAGTCACTTCAGCTTTGCCCAACAGGGATTGGTTTCAGGCACAAAGATAGATATTCTGTTTATCCTCATTTGCGAACGGCCCGCGAAAGCGCTTCGGCATTGGGCATATGATGAATAAAAGCGAATAGCAGGGCAACTAGTCCAGCTGCTCAGGTCAATTCTTACAAATACATTCACGCTTACTGCCAACATTAGTTCACTGAGTTTCGATCGTGTCTGTAATCAGTTTATCCATATCGTCTCCAACTATGGCCGCTTTTTGAATGTTCCAGATGTCTCTTAACAGCCGAAAGGACCGCGTGAGGGACGTGGCGAGAGCAGTCATGAGGTGTCAGCTTAAGGGTCCCGTATAGCTCGTATACAGAGTTGTAACGGAAATGTTTTTTTCAGAAATCTACAGGTGACAGAAGGCCAAGTTTCTGCTGTAATGGTAGTTTCTTTCTTAGAGAGAGAACTGTGTCCAGGCCCTACAAATCCCACTATTAGACTGATGGGCACAATGCAGCACTCTCCTAAAAGGACTGGAAAATTCTGGCAAATTAAGCCCATTAGTCCTCAAAAGAGAGCACCCTAAGCCAGAGGTCTGGAGACACTGAGACTGTTTGGCATGGCAATGTCCATTCGACCATTACAAACCAGGATGCTTGACCTTCGAGTTCACCCCTGTTGCACTATTGGTATTGACCACTGGGCCTGATTAATGAACCCAAAACCAGCACAAACGGAGCAAACGTCCAGCTGCAGCACCCGAAGGAAGTCCAACTGCTGAGATTCTGCCAAGTTTCTCAAGCCCAGACAAGATCAGTTAAAAAGCCGTGATTGGATACGAACCATAGACCCCCAGCATTTCGAAACTTGACCGCCGGGATATCTCGAGCTCATCTGAACTTAACGTGCAAAGGAGTGATCCCATAACCTGCACGTATTGCAGCAGATCATATGATCTACCGTAGAGTGTGACTTCAACTGTGGCCGGTCCATCAGTTCCAGTTAATGATAAGAACACTTCAGAGTATTATTGAGCTTGTTCGATTGATGAGAGCCCAGTTGCGCAGGTTTTGACTCAGTTGTATCGGTTCAAACCCTCAAACGATCACATCAAGGTCCCAACGTAGGTCATTCACTTCAGTCTAGAAGACCGACTAGTGTAGGGCAGTGAAATGTAACAGGGTACAAGATAGAGCCTGCTCAATACGTCCATGCTGTTCCAAAACAGGTGCTTTGGAAACATTTTTTCCCGATTAAGCCTCAACTGCAATGTAGTTGAAAACCCTGCTAACAAAGCACGCAGCCGATCCCAGTGGTACGCATTCTGTCATTTCCTAGCCGGAATGTCTAGCTAAATTTTGCTTGTCGTTGTGGATTGGAATTATGAAGGTAACATCTACAATGGACGCCGAGTCGATCCCACTGATGGCGCCTTACTTTGGTCAAGTGCTCAGGCGTGTTTACTTCGATGATGTCCAAAAGCGTAGGGTCCCTAATTCCTGATCGTCCTATCTAAGTGCTTCCTCGTACAACCCTCCCGTTTTCCATCAACTCTTTACTGAGATTCTAACCTCGTGGTTGTATGGCAGCTGAGCAACAATATAGTGTTGTATTGCTGTCAATCATGACGATGGTGATTGCAACTAGCAAGTACGGTTAGAAATATAGATAAAACACGCTAAATGAGAGTCCAATGGCACTCTAAACTCGAAATACGGGTCAAGTTATATCGATTAGTTGAAACTGGTTAGAGAGAAGTGACTGGTCGGCCAAAGCAGGTTTCCGACATCACAGTTAGTAGCCACCGCTTCCCGTCGCGTGTTTTGACGGCTGGTATTGGAGTGACTGGATGGCATTCAAAACATCACGTTGAACAATCCGACTGGATTGAGAGGGCCGAATTCGTCCGGAAACAAAGATGTACCCATAGTCTTCGACCTCGTCGACGCATTCAAGACGCCAACTTCAGTAACAAACAGACGTGTACCTTGGATTGGATGTTTCGTCCTCTTTTTCCCAAAGTATACTCATTTAAAACGATTATATCTGACTGATCATGGTTGATCACCGGTGACTTTAATAGCCAAACCAATATAACTTTACTCATACCAACCTTAGATCGAAAAGAGTGACTTTTGCAATGTATATTCAAAGTACAATTTTCGTTCAATGGCGGCATCTTCAGACGAAGAGATGGGGTAACAACGAGATCTTCATCAGGCCTCGTTTTAGCTGGTATTTTTACGAAAATTGAACACATCTTAAGCCCCGTAGTCGAACAGACCCCACATTACAGAAGCCATGTTGGTGACGTCTTTAAAATCTTTCATTCGAATTCTACTACGCAGCGGCTACTTCGGTTTTGTAACTTGGCACATTAACCGATGGGTGGTCCCTACTGGGGGAGGCACCAGAAATTCATTCAACTTCTCTTCACTTTAAATTGCTCCAAAGGCCGTAATTCTTGCACCACATACATGCAGCATACTTCGCAACAAGCCTCACTCACCTCTCCAGAAACTCGTAATGTAAGTAATGGAATCCAAGTAATGGAAGACAAAGGACTCAAATGAAATCAATCTTAACTTGCTAGAATCCATAACTGTATGTTGGCCCCGCTAACACTAGCAACGCAATACAACGAGATTATAAAGCAATGCACCATTATTCTGCGACAAGCGCCAATCCCGGCAGGGACCTCAAGTCCTGGAATTGAGGAGGACTAGCTTGATTGTGTCCACTGCAATTCAAAGTTGGGCTCAAAACGCACTACGGAATAATGTTTTGGAAGTTAGCACAGTGTTTAAGATTTCGAAATGTTGAAGACCATACAAGCCATATCTTGCGCCTGATTCATTCATCGGTACCATGTAGTCCTAGAAAGGTGCGAAGTTATAAGAGGTTGAGTTTATGAAAATCCTTAGGGAGTAAGGTCAACTTTTAGAAGACAAAATCGAACACTATATAGGCAAGTACGATTGTGTTACGATTGTGTTAAATTCTATGGAAAGGGATAATTGAAGCCTGCTGGGGACTCTTCTGCTGAGTGGCTTTCCTTCGACGTAACACTCTTGGAAGTCTTCATCAAAGCTCGAATAGGTTGTGACGTCACTATACACTATCATTGCATTCTCAAAAAAGGAGATACGTTATTCCGAAGAAGAACTGTGGTAGCCAGGAGACTGACGACAACCGAATGCCCAAGAGGTTCCTATGTGTCTTGTATTGACTATGGGCATGCTAAGTAGCAGCTGGATAATTTTTTGGTCTTGCGACAGACCGTTTGTCTATCACTTCAGCTAATGCTAATGAGATTCTCCAATCGTCAGGCACTTCGATCGGGCACTGGTCGGTTTCGCGCACGCAACATCTAGTGGCTAGTAAAAAGTGCAAATACCTGCAAGGATTCACAAATGCGAGGAACAAGTTTTCTCAATAGAAGGGAATCATTAAAAAAATAGTTTTATCTCGCCATCCGAAACACTAACTAACCTTCGACGCTTCGTTCGCTGCCTGACGTCGCAGTTTCTCCTGCTGCCTCTCTCGTTCGCGCTCGTCAAATCCGCGACGTAACCTGTCAGGAATGCATTGACTAAGACTACCGGAGGTAGAAGAGGGTTTGTCGCCAGCAGCCTTGGAAGGACCAAAATCGATCACAAAGGATTCAGCCCGTGGACGTTCAGACTGGCTTACAGACACCGATGTTGGTTCGGTGTATGGCTCAGCTGGTAACAGCAAGGATAATGGGACAAAAAATGAAGGGAAATGCTTCACGTAATGCAGCTGACTGGCAACAGGATGACAGATCAATACTCAAGTTGCTATGGAAAAGCAATACACTAATCAGTCTTCGTCCGGAAAAAAACAGGTTTAAGACAAATACAGTCGACCCAGGCTGAAAAAAGTACTGATTGATTACAACAAATAATTTGTACGTCCTTATCCACTAGGAAAAGAAAACAGACTATGATCCCGTAGTGAACTAGAGCCACGCTCAGAAGCAGTGAAACTGACTAAAACAAAGCTAGTAAGGAGTAAAGCGGTATGGTACTGGAACTAGTGTAGCTTTGGCAATGATAAGAGACTCAAATAGAGATCTTGACAGAAATAGAAAACCAGTATATAATAACTCACAAGGTTTATGAGACGGCCCATGAGCGATTTCACTCTTCTTGGGGCTCGTCCGACAGTTGAGGGACACCACAAATACGAGAATTCAGCTACGATTCAGTTGTCTCTCATTAAAAAACCAAATCGACGCCAAATGGGTTATTCCATAGTACATAATAGTTTATACCAAATCTCGTTTTGTATTTGAACCAAGTCAACGTCTGGCCCAAAGTGAAACTCACACAAGGGGCTCATTAATGGCAGCGACAGATAACAACCGTTAAACCAGTAGACAAGTATGTGGCACTTCAGTTGCGAAGTCCAAGTGCATAAGATTGATGGAGAACAATCGTCTTCAGTGCCTCAGTTAGTGGATCATCCGTCCGATGAGCTGGGAGTTCGTGGTTCGAGTCCCACAATATAAAAGTAGAGACGGTATTACCGTAACCTTTGGTGTGTATTGTTGGGGAAACGAAACGGGTACACTAATTTCAAAATGGAATTCGGCAACACATGTCACAGCGCCCAATCCGTGCATCAAAAACCCAATCGTCCAATCGTAGGCTAAAATGTTATCCACTGGTCTAACCACTGGACACTTGGGTTTTGTTGCATAATGTAGGGGGGGGTATCGAATTGACCGCTCAAGTGAAACCAAGACGGCCAACACGAGAAAAAATAGATCAAACAGGGAAATACAACCGTCTATTTGAACTCAAGAAAGAGAGACCACGATACACACAATCAAATTGAAGAAAAGGAACTGTCAAGAATATAAATTGCCGTAGCGGTCAACCAAGTTCAAGGAAAAAAGATCACAACGCAACAAAAACCGGTAACGCACCAATCGAAAAGGAACCTGAAACACTTCAAAGGAGCTACCCAACAATCCATTGGAATAGGGCCGAGATTGCTCCGTGGTTGGAACGCGAATTTGCTGGCCGGAAGGTCTGGTTCGAACCCGACCTCTGTCTCTACTTCCCCTGTCTAGGCTTAAGTAACCTGGCAGGATCCCAGCCCTCGTGCTTCCTTCTGGTAGCATGGCAGTTAGGCACGGAAAGGGTGCTACAGCTGAATAGGATGTATACGGGCCACAACGCAGCGGAAATCGCCAACGGGCCAATAAGATTGCAAGGAAGGCGTATACCAATTAGCCCGCAGTTTCCGAGGATAATGAATACTCTCCGAAGCCTACGTAAACGCAGCTAGGTGAGGAGGAAGTACCCACTCAAATGTGCAACGATGTCTTCTCAACTGGAAACAGAATGTTTTCAGACCAATCGCCAAGCTCGGCGAACGGATCAATGGCAATCGGGTCAACCACAGGTAAACGCGCCCGGGTAATCACTATTTCGACATCGATAATAATAAAGTTAACACCGATACATGTCATCGCGACCTATGGCGTTTTTATATCACACTGAGTACCAGTCATGTGGCCTTGGGGGCGTTAGAAAGCAAGTTAACGAAAACTGAAAGTAGATTCGATTTTTCCACAAGCTTCACAATCGTCCAGTCATTTATCTGAATAGATCACTATTAGAGACGGTAAACCCACCTCGCAAACTGTCACATTCTTGAAAATGTAATCCAGTTGGCAGTTCACCCTCCATGAGGGCTTTTCCGGTGGACATAAGAGAAAGTGCCGCGTTGTTCGACCGATAACGAAAGCCGTTGTAGAGTAGAGTATGTGCAAAGTTCCCCTCGTCAATGAGGGACAAGTGCAAAGGTGTGCGATTGAAAAATGTGAATTTCCAGTAAATGCTCGGCTATCTACTAAGCAACCTAACCCGGATTTGCTAGACACGCTGATGCGGCTTCAAATCATGGCGAACGTAGACTGAGTTTGACAAGCCCGTTTGAAAACAATACGGCGTATAGACTTGAAAGAACCGGCTCTATTAGAATGAGTCGGGTCAAAAGGAAGAGATATTCCTTATTCAGTAGGATATGTTAATTCACTCTTCGTGAACGTCCTGAGTTCGTCGGTTTCGGTGCTACGATTCCGCACGCGTTTGACGATCACAATGATGCGAAGGTGTCAGATTGATTGTCACAAACTGTGTTCCTCCAGAAATGCTCACTGCTGAGCTGCACTAGAGAAAAAGCACTTGCAGTTGTTTTCAGCTCGTTTGTCTCGAAGTGTTTCCGGAAACAAGTTGTGGCACACAAGTACACTGTCACGTGTTGCGTGTTGTGCAGAGGCACGGGGATGTTGTATCGAATATCAGGATGCGATGGAAGGCAGCTGACTATACGAGGATTGTCAAACACTAGATTTACCTCATAAGATGCTGTTCCCGTAAACAAACTATCTACGGTGAACACGAAATTCGGTCACCCTAGAAGGGGTGATCACTATGAGGGAGAAAGTTGTACGAACAACTAGTCCAATTGGGGAGTCGAAGAGTGATTTTTTTCAGTCGAGAGGCCGCTTATTTCGTAATGAGCTGAGCTAACCCGGTTAACAGATTGATAGATGGAACGTCTTGAATCTGAACTGATTAATGTTGTTAGCTAACGTATTGTGAACACGAAATCAACTGCTACGTTAGGTCACAGCTTCCTTTCTAAGTTACAAACATAACTGCCGGTTCTTTGTCTGGGCTGGGTTGGTCTAACAAAGGATTTCTAATCGTACCAGTGTTCGTGGGAAGCCGACAGAAAATGAACAACCATCATAAAATCAATCTTTTTCGCACTGTGGGCAGAATTTTGGTATGCATTTTATTCAGCCACCTGAAGACGGATATTCTGAAAGAAAACATCCCCGAGGAACACCGTGGATGCGAAGCGGAACCAGTTCGATTGGCCTCACTTCACGGAAATCTTCGGCTCCGTGAACTAGCGGGCGCTCTTTGAAAGGACACAATTGGAGACCACTGCAAAGGACCTGAGTGTTATTCCTTCCTGAGAACGAGCTTGGTGCTGAAGCATGCTTTGAGAGACCACACGAAACTTACTTCTTATGAGTGGCCCCTCGACGAGAGATATAATGCATTACGAAAGGGGTAAGCAAAGCCCTAAGGTACATCTCATTTTAAAGACGATTATTCAGAAAATGGATTTCTAATAGGAATGAAAATCCAATCTAAGTAATGAGTTCAAACAATTAGCCGGAAGGTCGCGCGTAAAACCAGTTGAAGTTGCGCTGTGGTGTTCCACGGTTTTCCATCACAAATTGGCTTTACCTGCAGGACGATCCGTTGAAACCAGTTTGGTAGTTTCCCTTGAGAAACCTGTGTTGACGAACATCTGTCCCACAGAATATCCCACTCTATTCACACTTTATCTTTTTGTGAGTTTCTACGATTTTCAATCTTATAGGCAATTTACTTTGTAAATATTTCTGAAACTTATGGCCATCTTTGAAACCATTGTTCTCCTATATCGTTGACGACTGGTTAGTCACTCCCTTTTTATGGATGCCATTTACATTGGTTCTAGCGGAGTTCGGACAGTCTGTAGTACACGCTGGTGTCCCCTTTTTGGCTCCCCAATCAGAAAAATCTCATCTGTCTGCCTCCGGTTTGACTTAAATTTAACAGAAACCGTCACAGCTGTGAAAGGCCAGACGCCCAAATTGAGCGACTGAGTATGCATACTTAGGACTTTGATGCATATATGGCAACTGATGCGAAACTGAACATTAAAGTCAGAACAAAGCTTGGTCAACCTGTGGAATAACCCGATGACAACTCGTCAATTGTAGTCCACAGTGTCTTTGGACCTGTGACTGAGCCTCATCGTCTGAGCAATGATTTGGGATAATGAGCGCTAAACGATAACTGATACACAGCCTCTTTATCAGTACAGATCCAGCTGGTGTAATCATGCATTTTGCTCCAGTAGCAAGCCACAAAAACGATTGACAGGTGAGACATAATAGCGGAAAACGCAGGAAGAAAGCGAGTAGATGGTTGTAATTCTTGTGAAGTCGCTGAGGAAATTGGTCACTGCAGGAGTTCCTCAATAGTATACGATTACTGCTGAAATCGCTATGCTTAAAAAATAGTCATTAACGGGAGGTTGATTGATTTGAGGTATCGGTCATTTTAAAGAAACAGCTTAGAGAAAGTGTCTTACTGTAACAGCTGTGTACATCACGCATCAAACTCAAAACACTCAAAAAAACATCCTGCTCCAAAAGATCTCTCCGATGTCTGGAATAGCTACTTCTGAACTTCAACGACTTGTCGGCATAGTCATCTCCCAGGAAAACCTGCTCGAAAGAGAGCATCTCTCAACAAGTTTCTTAAACCAATGAAGCCCCGGCTCCTGGAAGAGGCACCCCTTCTGGCGGCCCCTTCAGGTGCCCTCTCAATCTAACCGCTCTCCTCCATTCCATGTTTGTATCACTTCTGTCATAGTGCAACATTACACTTCAGTTTCGCTCTTGCAATTCACGCAAATCCGAGGCTAGAATCCCAAATATCTGGCACATTAGGCGAGTGTGTTATCGCTACTCCATCAGTGCACGCTGAAAGCACCTGAATTACTACGTATGAGCAGGTGAACGTGTCCTATGATGACTATGCCCTGAAGGCAGAAAAATTACTGAGTTGTGCGGATAATGCCCGCAGGGAGACGGGTGAAGTTTCCGTCATGCTAATTCACCTCAATTAGCAGATTGACTGCAACACACCGAAAAAGTTACAATTCCACCGTTTTAAGTGTTTCTATTCCAAAGAAACCGGATTCAAAAGAGAATCCAACGGTCCATATGGTGAAGCGATAGATTGGAAGGCTTTTTTAAAAAAACTGGTGAGAAGGACCTCAAAAGTCCTATAAATGAAGCGATAATTGGAAGGCTTTTTTAAAAAAACTGGTGAGAAGGACCTCAAAAGTCCTATAAATGTTGTGAAGAGATGACAGAGGTAGAAGTAGACTGTCGAGTCCCAATCATCGAAATGATCAAAATCGAATAAAGGTTGGACAACTTAGCGCAGTTAACACAATCGAAAAGCATTGAACGAATTGGCGCTGATCCAGAATGAGTGCACAGTAGAAAAACAAAGATGCAGCTGTGATGGACACAGACCTGGATAAGACAAATCGAATCCGAATTTCGTAAATGTCAAACTCGATTGTGAAACAGCTGACATACAAAAAAGTGAACTAGTTGTGGACAGAGCAACAAGACCAGAATTAAGATATATTGCCACAAAGATGTTGAAAATACGCAAGCAACATAGGAAGATCGTTAAGATAATCGATGTTCTGCGATTAAAAATAAAGGCGATCGACTTGGGGACCGTGTTCACAGGGTAAAGGGCTGATGCGGAAACAATACAAAAACTGACAACTTATTAAGGATAGGGTTGGAAGTTCATCCCACTTAGTTGCATCAAAGGTCTTAGCAGAGTGAAACCGCTCATCAAATTCGCGCGCAAGAATACGTGTCAGAAAGATTTCACGCTCACTTTGTACCAAAGGTCGAAACAACACAAAAGTCAACCAAAACTGTAGTAAGGTCGTAGATTCTGTCATACTTGCTGGGCACCTACTTGAACAGACTACAATAGCAGTTCAAATTAAGTTTTGAACATACGGGAATACATCTGATTGGCAGGTTCGCTATGACTTATCTAGGCAGCCCCCAGCTGTCATACGACGCGCATCTGTCTACAGGTTAATTTTCATTCCAAAGCAGGGAAGTGGTCATGGTAGAGTAGGACAGGGATAATGTGATCCGCTAATCTTCATCCGTATCTGTTCTGACCGAAAAAAATTCAAGGAAAGATAATACACTCGCTTGCAAACTAACTTGGTTTTAACGGGCGACTCAACCAATTCACAGCTGAATCTCTCGCTTGCGATATTCTTCAACTGAATGCACTACACAAAGGCCACTTCATGTTTCATTCGATTTTGTACTATACTGTGTAAGATATTGTGTCTAATTTGGGTTCAAGTGGAACAGAAGGTTGACGGGAACATTGAGAATCCGCCTACCTGATAAGTACCAAGGACGAAATCAATCGTGAGCTGTCGAAGACTTTTCAGCAGTCTTATGAGTAATCTGTTCCGTCAAGAAAGACGGACATGTCAGTTCGACCGAACGATGCCGTCGCTCCAGTAAATGAGCCGTGAAACGATGTAACAAACTGTTGTTCGTCTGAAATGTCGGTTCTTGTGAGTGGTCTAAGATAAAAACAGCAATACTACATGCATACAATGAAGTCGCTTTCCGTCTTTTGTTCTCTTTTGATAAGGCGGCATTGTGATAGGCGTCACCCGAAATAACCAAAACATCAAAGCAATGCACAGCCCAAACAATCGTGGCGTTCTTGAAATTCGTCGAAATCAAACAAAAATGTGAGTCACATCTGAGCGAACACATGCGTGTGATTGTTTTACTTTTAAAAAAAATGCAGAATTCGATTATGACTGATTAGTCATTCAGGAAGGACAACTGAAAATTCGATGGTGTTCGGTTATGCCAAGCGTCGAGCAAGTCTAAACTTTACAGCATCTAGCCGACGCTCAACCAGGGAGAAAGCGAGAAAGGTATTAGTCGCTTGGATCAAGGTAACCGACACTCAGTATAAGGGATCCGATTGAGCCTTGATTCCGAAGGCAGATACAATCTCTTGAAGGTCGGATCAAGAGTATAAAAAGGCTATACCGCTCCAATGATTGACGCTATCCAATGAATTGAATTGATTTTGAAAGTCCCGTTGCCGAGGGGAATATCAAGCCAAATCTGACGTGTCTATGGGGTTCGAAAACAGAACTCGTGGAGTCCCGGAGACCTGCGTCACACTTCTCCAGTCCCTATACTCCGAAACCCACAGACGCATGAAAATTCCCCAGCAAGAATGATGTCCCTCAAGGCTGTCCTCGGTTACCTTTCCCCTTCAGCTTCCTAATCGAAGTAACTGTCGCGTAGTTCACGAGTTTACTTGTGTATGTGCAGTTCATGGTTGTACGTGGGCTGGGATGCTGTCAGGGCGCCCTCAACTAGACAGGAGGACGATTAGGGTCCTCAACCAAAGCCTTTGGCCCAAAAGCCTAACCGCAGGGCAGCGGTGTTCGACTGGAAATGCAAGTACATTACCTTTTTTCACGGAACACGTCGCCGTACATGTTCCAACCCCCAACCTGGAGGGCCAGGAGACTGTGTTCGTCGGACCTCTACCCATGGACCAACCTGGTATGAGAGACTCTGTGAGCATCATGCGGACACTCCCCAGTATAGCTCAATGGGTCGCCGAGGTACACAAACCGCTACACCACGGTAAGGTCCAGTCTCTTCGTGACGGCGTAACTCCAGCGTGGAGCAACTTCCCAGGGAAGACCTTAGAAACATGGAATATGTGGACGGAATTGAGCTACTTGGTCCGGATTCTATCCAGATAAAAAACATACTAAATAAAGGGCTATTACAAGACCGGGAGAATGGACCGTCGTGGCTGGTCATGGCATCGAAACCACTAGAGATGGTGGATAGATTTACCTACCTGGGTAGTCGGATGACAGCACTACTGACGAATTGAATGATGGAATGGTTAAAGTCCGTTCTGCTTTCCTTTAACTTAGGCACCTTTGGGATCAATATGACATAAGCTTGTCGGTAAAAGGCAAAGCATACAACGCAGCCCTGCGTACGATGTTGTTAAATGGTTTGGAACCCTAGTTGCTGAAGATTGCTGGAAAGATTGTTTGTCATTGACCACCGGTACCTCTGAGGCGTTGCATATTGGTCATGAGAATATAAAATTATCGATATCGAAGTGCAATAAATGGTTTTCGGCAACGAATCGGCTGCTTGAACGACTGGTCTGTTGACTGAGCTGCGCCAGGTACACTAACTTGGTCAAGTGCTCCGTACGCCAAACGATCAGTCGCCTCGTCGTACCCTGTTTTCTGGGGTAGATTTCGAGGTGGACAACGCATGACCTGGAGACGGAGCACCTCAACTATCCTGCACTCGGCTGCGATGACCCGAATCACCGTATGCACGTACAGTTCACAATTGTCAAACTTAAGTGACCGACTGAATTAAACCCGCAATTCAACCTGTTCAACAGTAGGATTTGTTCTGTCATCTATTGGACTGTGTGAGCCATATGGAATTACAGCGAACAATAACGATAGCTTTAATGTCTTTCGAAAAATGGAAGAGGAGAAGGAGTGGGTACACAGAGACATTAACTCGATAGTTCGGTGAGCAGACAACAAAGTAGTGTCTGCTAAATGTCCCACTGAGGGCAAACCAACGCAGAGCATCTCCACCAAGCCGCCTAGTATCAAGGTCAGATCGGCCCAGCCAATGTGCGTTTTAGTAGATAGACCAACGCCGAAACCAAACACCAAAGCAGTGAAATAGCACGATTCAGCAACCCGTAAAATGATGTGTACGGCTTACAGACCTACAACAGGAGTTGTAACTAAACAGTTGATAGGATTCCAAAATAGGCAGCAGCATCTTCGACTAAAGTCATTCCATTTGAGGCAGAAATCACGAGACACACCAAAAAGCAGTGGATTTCGTTGCGAGCACTGCGTGAAAAGTTCACCCACACAGAAAAAGAACATCGCCCACAAGAACTCACAAGCAGGTTCCGGAGCAGTTTTCTTTGGTGAACTTTTACTGTTCGCCTTCGGAGACAACATGGAAGTGTGTGGATAAGAGTAACTATCGTCGCCGTCACCCCACCAGCTGGGTTGGCCGTAGAGTTCTGCAGAATGCAACAGCATCAAAGAGGGGAAAATGTCAAGATTTAAGGAGGCACCAGAAGACGTTGTGCTAGTAATCAATGTGAAGCCGCTCAACAACATCATTACCAACAAAATCTTTGACGTCAAACCGAATGTTTTACACTGGTGCTTCACTGGCTGAGAACAGAAGCACCTGCTAGAGATTACACGAGAGGAGCTGCTAACCAAGCGGTCATAAACCGAGGACATTCCTCACTTATACACTCATCTGCATACCGATTTGGTTCTGATTAGAGACTCGCCTGGTGCCCAGCTGAGTCTCTCGTTGTAAATGTTCTCAAGGTTGACGGAAACTCGGGGACTGCACCTACCTGACGAGCCCCAAGAAAAGCGAAACCAAGAATTTTCACCGACCTGATGAGTATTACTCCATAATACTCTATAATGCTCTACACAGTGGAAACATTTCCCATTTGGATAAAAAGGTCTGTAACAGCCGGTACGAGCCGCTATACCATTTTGGCGTGTGATTGGCATGTAGCTGATGGGTGTGGTTGGTATATACACAGAGGGCTGGACCCACAAACCCTGCTGCTAGCAGCTTGCACATTATTATCTGCGCTTTTTCGGACAAGGGGCATGAAGCTATCAAATGTATGCACAACCGAAAGCAAAAGAGTACTGAGCACCCAACAACGCAATATCGGTCGATCATACCGTTCAGCTGTTACTCCTTTTCGATACATGCCACCCAAAAGAATGGTGAGGGTTGAGATAATGCCAGGTTTTCCGAGCCTAGACAAGAACAGTCAAGATGCAAAATTTAGGCTCGAATCACGGACCCTGCGGTTAGTAAATTCACTCCTTGACCATTGAGCTATCTCGAGCTCCTAAAACAGGTTAGCAGGAGTTAACTGAACTGCTGCATAGCAGTCTCCAGTATAAAATAGGGTGTTCTGATTGTTGCAGGTTTAAGCCCCTTCGGACGCTCAGGCGAAAATGAGCAGCGCTATATCCTGTCCAATTGCGAGTCACAATGCTGGCCAGCCGCTTGTGGCCGAACGGTAAAGCATTTAAACGACTAGTTGGGAGATCACGAGTTCGGAACTCCAAGGAATTTCGTGAGAAAAGCACTGCTGATGATTCTCAATAACGATGTGTGGTGCTTCTCCGCTTTTCAGCATAGGTTGTTTTCATCAAGAGGAAGAAACATCCCCACAACACCAACAAAAAATGCTCAGTACAGACAAAATGGCTTCGTGCTGCTTCTGAGTTTTTAAGCATAGATCAGGAAAAACTGTAGATCCGATTGTACGCCACATCACAATCACTTGGTGGGTTATTTTGCATCACATAAGAACAGTAGCCGCACTAAATAACTGAACAATAAATGGTGATCAATTTGTACAGCGTTCCTACAGGGTATCAAAAGGTTTGAAGTGAAGTAAAAACCATCAGTCCTCAGCTTTTCGGGTCAAACCCTCCTCAGGTTCGTAGGGGCGATATCATTTCCTCCCTTCGCATTTTATATGCATGAATTGAGCAGCAAAACCAGAAACTTGAAAAACAGCAGATTAGCCCATACAACCCATGCGGGATTCCTTTGAACAGAAGCAACTGTCCTGGAGAGTACACAACAATTTAGCCCATTCAGCATGATAACATGCAATCCCTTCTAATAGATACCATCTCCAAAGAAATCCTAGCATCCACTATAACCGTGTAGATCCATCTTTGAGGGTAAGTGTGGACCAAAAACCGATGATCATTTCTTATCGAGGGATATACTTTCCTCAATCCGCCAAGGCTGTTATTGGACTGGGACTTTCTAAGGTCATCGTCAGTGACTTGTGTTTGCTTGCCATTGTGAGCTCTCTGCATACTCACACTTTGATGAGTGGTACATGGCGCTGAGTGTACATTCTTGCCATTGACTCTCACACCAGACCCAGTATGACGGAAACTTTGTGCCTGATGTGCGAGTCTTGACTGTGCTAGCGCTCATCGCGCCTTGAAGAGCATTCAGCATTGTTTGCCCTTTCTTCGGTTGCTGGGTATTACACGCGTGTTTCCATACCAAGCATTTTTACATACGTTGGGATTCGTCTTGTTTGACTGGAACTGTTAGTGGCAAGACTTCGAATGGGGCGCTTCCATCGTTTTATCTAATATTTTCTTGCAACCCTCCCACACAGTCGCTTTCATTTGCTATTTTATGTTTATGACCATGCTTTTCAAAAAAAACGATGAAGTGCAGTGGGTGCATTTCATAGATGGATCCAAAACTGTAGAAATCATACAGCTGCCAACCAGAAGTTTGGCCGCCAAGTTGCTGTTTTGACATTTGGAATTAGGAAGTAAGTGTTTTGAGAGCGTCTTCCGCTAACTACGTTAATTGAAGTGGAATGGGCCAAAGATTAATGGTGAACAGTGCCCGCATACTTATTACTGAAACCAAAAGTTTTGAAATGACTTTCGGACTCTTGATCTTGACTTGAATTTGTAGGTAGTTGACATTTTGTCAATGCACTAGGAACTGGGTTTCCAGCTTCTGACGAGCTTCTATTCTGAAGGGACACAAATCTTAGCATCGCTTATCCTGGGCAAAGAAGCGTCTATCCAGCAAACTAATACTGGCTGTACGGAGCAGAACTACAGAACAATGTCATCAGTAAGCAATTGGCTTAGACTCCATCCAATATGTTTACGCCCAGAAATTTGTCATTCACAGATCGGTTGCAGCAGGTAAAAATGCAGATGAGGGGGTATTGCATACTGATCGTCGTCCAGCTGCAGCACCCTTTCGGTGCCTAGCTGCCATGTCACATGAAGGAGGCACGAGGGCTGGGATACTGCCAAGTCGCCCAAGCCTAGACAGGGAAAGTCGAGGGGCAGAGATCGGGTTCGAACCACGGACCTTCCGGTCAGTAAATTCGCGCTCTAACCACTTGGTCCATCTCGCCCCATTGCATACTGGTACAGTTACGGATGATGTGTCCACCACTGGTCTGGTCGGTATTCTGATAAACGGACCAACCATGCTAACTGATCACGCGATAGTAAACAGGGTCTTATCAAGTTATAATTGTACCCAGCAGTGAGCTTTATTCCATAACCTTCTATAGTCCCTTTGAGAAACCGGTGTCTGTAGGACACGCTGGCATCAGTGGTTTTCGTCTTCAGCAGAATATATTCGCACACAAGTGGTTCAACAAGAGGCAACTGAGTCATCTCATACTTGGATAAACGACAACCTCCACACAAGCTTGAATCCTAAAATCCTCAGTGGGGCGCGAACCGGTTAGCGTGCTATATGGTCCATTGATTTTCTCCGGCAAGACTTATCTCAACTCGACAAAGTATTACGAAAACAGACAGGTTGCGAAAAGCGTTCTTATTGGTTCAAACGGCTATCATCATCAAATGAATTACTAAAGAAGATCCGGAAAAAAAAAGAAAAAGGCTACATGTGTGAGATCAATTTTTACATAACCAAAGACGAAACCAAAAGTACAAAACATACCCTGGACGCTCTTTCGAACCGGTCGGGATGACTGCGTTGCATCAGGTGTGGTAGCGGAAAAATCTCTGAACGCGGATGGCTTTACCTTTTTCGTCTGAGCATCAGTTAGCCCGTTAGTACAACTGTCGACCAAACTAGTTTGCTTGGTAAGTCGTGTGTCATGTTCCAGCTCAGCATCCGTAACCCAGACTGTCGTAGCCAGAGGTATACTTGCTTGGGCAGGCGGCTCATCCATCTCGGAATAATCGTCAGATATATCCGCTAAAGTATGATCTTTTAGTGAAGCATCGGCCGCTGCACCTTCCGAACCGGAGGCCAGCAGATTATCCATGCCAAAAGGCGGGCTTTGCAGCAAACCTACGCCACCTCCCTGTTGCAAAGACAGTGGACTTGGTGGTTTATCCTGAGGGTCATCTTGATCGTGCGTGGAGTCCTCAGCCGATTTTACCAAGGAGGGAGCAAGTGCAGTCGTCTACAGTTGAGAAAACCACGAAGGCAGGTAAAGGTAAACAGAACCAATTGGACGTGCATGTCTTTGTATGCTGGGCTAATTCAGTCACTTGTACACAGTAAAGTGTAAAAACAGCTATAATATCCCCCTCAGAAAAGATGACCCCTCACAGTGGAAAACTCGTGATTTGTCTCCTTAAGAGGTCCGCATAAAGGAAAACCGTATTTTTGCAAACATGTTCTCCAGCAGAGACAAAGACCAGTCAGACCAGTCAGCCTATAAATGCACCTACAGTTAGTCTATTGAAGAGCAACGTAATCACAAACTCCCTTTATTTTCTGCAGAAAAAAAGGAAATATTTTCAGCCAGTGCCCTCAAAAGAAATCTCTAAAAGATAGTAAATGTAATATAATTTGCAAAAATTTATAAGCAGTTATTCTGCTTGATTTTTCCTACTGCAATTCCGCCCAATATGTTAAGGTTTTAATAGATATTCGCTGAAATCACGTCCGATCCCGAAGTACGACACATCAATATCATTAGACATCGCGAGGATACAAAACACTATTGTTATTCTTTTATTGATCCGACTGAACATTGATGCGTTGCATCCAAAAACCACGCACGATAAACAAGGATTCAACCTGCGGTAGTGCGAGATTACAAACGTGCTTTGTCGTGATTAACGCTTCGCGATGAGTCGTGCTCATAGTTTGAACAAAAACGAGCCTTTTCCAAGCATCCGGTGGCATAGTGATTACTTACTGGATGTTCAGTTTTCGACAGATAGAAAAACGGGAAAATATCATCGTATGAGAAAGAATCGAACGAATCTTAACTGGATATCCAGGTCACAGCTGCTCATCATAAATGCTTGGTGAACCTATCCATACTCTGTCAAGGTTACCTTTACGCTATAAAACGCTTTAACTAAACGTTTCAATCACGTTACTCCGACATGATAAACTATCCTCGTGATACAGGCATACATGTAAAGTGATGAACGTAACACTGATACCACTCAAATCATAAATAGATTTACGCATCGGCTTCTTCTCGAACGTGAGATTAAGGTACCATAAGAGAGCGTTTGTAGCCGCTTCATTGAAGCAGTCGTATAGTTCACAAAGGAGATTGCTTTTCTGGGTGGTGAGTGGCTTTTGTATGAGAGTAACCTGTGTTTTGTGGCACCATAGGGGAGGATCATAGCATTAATTCGCTAGCTCATGTTTCATCGTCCGGCTGTTAACCACTGATTTACGCGTAGTAGCATGTGCTCCTGTGGTCAACTTCCCTAGATGGACCAACTACTTAACTAAGAACACTTGGGTTATCGCCCACGGGTGTTTTCAGCACTGTCCAGCCGCAGCACCCTTTCGGTGCCTAGCTGCCCCGAAGTCCCCTAGCCACCCGAAGGAAGCAAAAGGATAAAAGCTGCATGTTTAGCGACGCTAGCGAATACTTTGAGCACCAGACTGAAAGCCGGAAAGAGGCTAGGCAGCCCATCCCCAAGCACCATTCGACCGGATACCTGACATACCGAGGAAAGTGTTGCAACTCACCGCCTGTGCGTTCGGGTTTGGCGAAAACGTATCCAGTGTGTTGAAGTGTTCTGCGGTGATATTTTTCTCCATGGTTTCTTTCCGGACAGATGCAGAGTCAGTAGTGGGAATATTATCCAAAATACACACATAAACGCCGCATGTCGCTTAAAACACCGCTCGCTATTGTTGATCTGCCTGTTCCACACTGGAACTGTAAGTGCTCGCCGACGTCGGGCAAAAATACGTGTAACACACGGTCGGCTGTGCCGGGAAACAAAAATACTGTTGGCTGAAGAATGAAAAATAAATGGACTGATTAAATCTCCTTCGGGTAACCCCCGTCAGTGGCAGCAACCATGGTTCGAGTGCCTGCACTTGATTGCTGCACAGCTATAGCAAAACTTAGCCCATAGCTAGTGGCTTTGGTGAAGCAGTGACTGCAGCAGTTTTCTATTCAGGGAAGAGTTACGATAGAAGCTCTAATCTATTGAGGAGCACTTTTAACAATGCATCATGCGGACGCTACAACCAGTGTACGACGAGTACGCGGTTCTTACAGGTGACAATGATGATGATGATGATGGACCAGTCCAACTAAACTGCTCCCTTCACAATCTGAGTACGGTCCGTTTACTATGGGTTCGAGTTGCGTTTCTCGTGCCGGCGATTCTCATGGGCTTTCCCGGCGACAGCTACCATGACAGTACGATCATAGTCTTCCGTTGATGATACCATTTGTAAAAGCTTAGTTCCAGTAATTTCTTCCACTCGCTGTGGTGTCTGATATTTCAGGCCTATTCCAGTACGCAGAATCACCATCGTCACCACCACTATTCTCAACATCATGAACAGAATAATCACCACCACATCATCGTTGTGATCAACACCATCATCAAAAGCATACCAGTGTTCATGACTCACTACCGTACAACCATACATATCTGAAAGCTCTGTTGTGAAAAAAAAACAGGGAGAGGAGGAACCAGGTGCTAGCTCACTAAAAAATAGCAAGTTGCCTGCAACTCCGAAGATTCATTCAGGCTTTGTGAAAACGCCATTTACACTGACTAGTGGCCACATACTGCGGCATCTCCAGCCTGGCAAGTGTGCCTACCTGATGAGCCGGAAAAAGGGCAAAACTGATGGTGGCCTACCGAAGTTTTTCCCCTGGCTTTGAATAACGTCCTCCAAGAAGGACGTTCTTTTCTGAAACTGCTCTTTGTATCAAGGCTATCCAGACATTCTCGCACTCGAGAGTCTAAGAATACGAAGAGCCTGCTACAGACATACATCCCCAGGGCATATCTTGCAGAGATAGCATGACAGAAAAAGCAGAGTAGTCAATAGAGACAGACGCCCCTTCAAAACGTATGGATACTGAAACTGTGGATCGATCATGCATTGGTTGTTTTCCCAGCACCTGACAGGATATGAAGATGTATAATCAATTATTATTCAAGCGTTACACACGGTGCCGCGGTGGAGTACCTCCTTAAAAAATACCGCGTAAGCCCAACAATAATTTCAGAAGATACTGATGACGAAAGAGTAAGGTAGCAACAACATTCTGGACCCGCTGAAGGGTCGACTGTTGTTACCAAATTATTCAGCGCGAAGGACATGATGGTGAACCCGTCTCCATCTTGCTCGCAAGTTGATATGAATCTGGGTCACCATCATCATCATCATCTGGGTACAAGTGAAAAAACCTGACGCCAACTGACACCCAGTATACTGGCTATCCTGGACGGTGTTCTCGCCACCCAAATGACATCTGAATTGAATACTCAGCACCTCCGAAAGATAAGCCAATACTATACCATACTGTACTATATACTATACTCTCGCATGCCCAGAAGTATGTAAATTTAGGGACCGAATTATGTTCACAAACCTGCGGCATAACCCATTGGGCAAGCGAGGCTAACAGCACTAACCGACCGACAGAATCAAACGTACCCTTGAAGTCAAGGAATACCACGACTGTGGGTCATCTGTACATGTGATTTTGCTTTAACAACTGGTGAAGTACGGAGATGTGATCGTTCAAAAAAATAGTTCAGCTGTAGCACCCTTTCAGTGCCTAACTGCCATGTCACCTGAAGGTTGCACGAAGGGTGGGATATTGCCAGGTTGCCCAAGCTTAAACAGGGGAAGTCGAGAGGCAAAGGTCGGGTTCGAACCATGGAACTCCCAGTGAGTGAATTCGAGCTCCGATGATCTGGGCCAGCTTGCGGTCGACGAAGTCTCTACTCGATCGAAATTCCGCTTGATTCCCACGAGTCAAAGACTCGCATGCCGCCGTAAGACGAAGAAGAAGAATCATTGACACCAAAAGCCTGATTACAACGGGAGTCAAACTAACAACTCTGTAGCCTAGACAGGGGAATTCGAGAGGCGGAGGTCGGGTTCGAACCACGGTTCTTCCGGTCAGTAAATTCGCGCTCTAACCACTTAAACTATCTTGCGCATATCCAGCTGAAGCGGCCTCCGCAGCCGTTATTTGGATGAGAGCAACGGGACAGTCAGTTCAATTGCAGTAATTGCGTCCCGTATCCTTGTTCCTGACAGACAGCATACATCAAAGCAGAGGAAACCCAGTCTACGGGCAAGAGCCACCTGTTGTACTGCTTGCTTCAGTGGGCGAACATTAAGGGTGGCTAAGTAGACCGGCTTTCGGGGATTGAAAATCGAAAAATCTGTGGTCCAAACCCAAACTCGGTATCTCGGTTGCTCGTCTAGGCTTGGGCAACCTGAGATTATCTCAGCCTCCGTGCTTCCTTCAGGTGGCACGGCAACCAGGCACGGAGATGAGGTTCTCTCCACGCTACTATGTAAAACTAATCACAAAATCCAGAGCAGTCTGTCTGTTTTAGAGTTTGTTACTACAAAGCTTCAGTTGCACTTCAGTTCTGCACTTCCAATTCGAGATGGATGAACAGATGGTCGCCCTGCTTCTGATTTGTCCGAGGTTGACAGCGCACCTGGTTGCCTTCCATCAAATGGGTGGAACAGCACGGACGTATCCATAACCTGGCGTTGGATTCTTCTTCCAAGCTGGGAAGTGGATCCATCCGCTGCTTAAATTTCTTGACCGTGCATCCTCAAAAAGGTCAATCAGTATATCAGCCCATGCTGGAACGTCCCATAGATGTCGGTGTTTAGATCCCTCCGATCGAGAAACTTGTCGACCTGGAATATGCGGAAGACATCTTTTTCATTTCAGAAGAGGAAGAAACGCAGGAAACGCTGGGAAAGCTCATCGAGGCCATTCTTTGATATGTATTCCGAGCCCACAAAGTGCAAAGTGGACCGCCAAAACGTACAGTCTTTGAACGAATACTCAGAGTTCAAGGGGTGACATTATAAGCTGTGGAAAGCTAGATGCGTTTCGGAACTTGCGTTAGCTCTAATGGCAGTATGACGGGCGAAACCAATTAATCCCAGAGGCCAGGACTGCGTTTGTCAATTTACGCCAAACATGCTATAAAAGGCATATCACTGGGACGTGTATAGTGCAGGCTGTATTGCTGTAGCATTGCGAGACTGGGCCACTTCTGAGGGATGATCTAAGACGTTTTCAAGTTTTGAACCACCGATGTCTCAGAACTTTGCCTGGAGTTGGCACCAATGAAGTCGTAATGCGCTAATCGGGAGACGGTTTCGGATGAAGTAGGCGATTATTCCCACAAAGTATGCAGCCAACATTGCAAGCTAAGTTGGCTGGATCATATATTACTCATGCCGTTACCGACTACTGAGACGATCCCTGGTTTCCCGCCTATTCGAAGTGGCAAAAGCCTAGAGGTGGACAGAATTTGGCATGGTAAAGAATGGTTTTGCGAAAAGTTTGGGCGTACTTCATCTCCGGGATGAGATTCACGTGAGCCTCTCTGTATGCGGCTGGAGACACAGAGCGATATGGCGGCTAACCAGTGTCAGTATCATTCACGCTGTCAGTTTCTATCCAGAGAGTTTGGCTGAGTGTTGGAGGTGCAGAAAACTCGAATGTTTGTTTTAGATTAGCACCAGATCCCCCTTCATGTCCCATTTTTTCCTCACATTATAGGGCTTTATGGGAATAATTTTACATGGTGGAATGGCAGTAAATTATAGGTGTTTTCATCTGTTGCCGTCAGTGACAACGGTGATAAGTGGCTATTTTTGCTGGAAGCGAAAAACTTTTGCGTTTTGTCCAAGCCTATATCATTCTCGTTTTATGGCGCATTGGCAAAGATAGAAAGAGTGTATTGCCTTCTATTTGTTTCCAAGAGCAAACCGCCAGGTAAAAAATAGCAGGTCTATAAGTATTCTTCAGTATTCTAACGTGTGCACTTATCAGGTGAGGTAAACATCGGTGTAGATGTTAAAACCGAACGATTGTTTTATTATAACCTTTCTCGTAACTCGGTAATCATCCACTGTTCACCGGTTCTTTCTAGTTCTAAGCATTCAAGCTTGGTGTATGGAACGTAGGCCAGTTCTATTCCAATAGATGTCGTTTGATAGAACTTATTAATATCGCACGGAACCCTCCGTCCAATGTGAGTGTGAATGACGGATAGATGAGGGGTAGCTTGTGTCTGCCCACAACGCGGGTCCTTAATCCCCGCAGCTGCACTCCGAGATCACGGGCTGCAAGCTGAAAACAGGGCGATGGGGAATATCACTAATTCCACAACTTTTCGATTCTCCATTTGTGTGACCTACGGGGAGTTCATGAAAGGCTCCGTAGGATTTTAATAATAAAGAGAACCTCAATTTGGTTTATATGCACTGGGACAGCGTTTTGAAGTGTTTGTTCCAGTTTTTGCGTAAGGTGTAACGCTTTTTAAATGTAATCCCCGGCGACTTACAGGGTCTCTATATGCATGTGATGGGAGTGTTGTTGACAAAAACAGTGGTACCTAAAGCGCCATTCAGCAACTATGCATAACTATGCAGTCGAAAATGAGGTATTTATCGCGCATGTCCAATTTGTGTGTGGCGAACTAACGATAAATTGTTTCCGAGGTTGTGGTAATAGCACCAGTCACGAAGCCACAACTCACGGTGCCACCCCTTGACATGGAAGCAGCAGACCAGAGCGAATCCTCACGTGTGATTGGCTAAAAATTCTTGACGCAGCCGCGAAACGCAACGGACCCATCAGAATTTCGGCTGCTAATTGGGCCAGTGCCTAGAAGGCGCACATTGGCTATGGCTTCGGAAGTGGCTTCCGTTGATAAATTTGTGGGTGTATCGTTTCCATCCTTCATGACATTTGAGAAGACCTTTAATGAATACAT